TGATTCACAGTCAAACAACTCTGATGATGAACTATTCATTTGGTGAATCAACATCTGACTTGCTTTGTAAACTGAAAGTTGGTGGAATTTAAATCTGTATTATTACTGACCTATTGTTAGTCTCATGCTAGTCTCATCAAATGTGTCGTATGCCACTCTGTTTTAGATATTTCATGCTATCCAGGTGTATGAGCTGTAAATGGCCTCATACACAGTTTATTAAAGCAATGATGGTAACACTTTGGATTAGGTACCAATTCCCACTTCTAACTAGTGCCTTGCCTGGTTATTAGTACTTACAAAGTATGTATTCTGCATGATCTTTTTCTACACTCACTGTCCACTTTATTAGGTACAGCTGTCCAACTTCTAGTTAATGCAAATTTCTAATCAGCTAATCACATGGCAGCAGCCTAATGCATTTAGGCATGTAGACATGGTCAAGACAATCTGCGGCAGTTCAAATCGAGCATTAGAATGGGGGAGAAAGGTGATTTACGTGACTTTGAACGTGACATGGTTGTTAGTGGGATCTACTGGGATTTTCATGCACAACCATCTCTTGGGTTTACAGAGAATGGTTCGAAAAAGAGAAAATATCCAGTGAGCGGCAGCTCTGTGTGCGCAAATGCCTTGTTGATGCCAGAGGTCAGGGGAGAATGGCCAGACTGGCCCGAGCTGATAGAAAGGCAACAGTAATTCAAATAACCACTCGTTACAACCAAGGTATGCAGAAGAGCATCTCTGAACACACAACACATTGAACCTTGAGGCGGATGAGCTACAGCAGCAGAAGACCACACCGGGTGCCACTCCTGTCAGCTAAGAACAGAAAACTGAGGCTACAATTTGCACAGGCTCACCAAAATTGGACAATAGAAGATTGGAAAAATGTTGCCTGGTCTAATGAGTCAAGGGTCAGAATTTGGCATCAACAACATGAAAGCATTAATCCATCCTGCCTTGTATACATGATGCCATCATGTCAATATGGATTAAAATCTCTGAGGAATTTTCCATTACCTTGTTGAATCTATGCCACGAAGGATTAAGGCAGTTCTGAAGGCAAGAAGGGGTCCAACCTTGTACTAGTAAGGCACACCTAATAAAGTGACTGGTGGTTAGTGTCTAATACCTAAACTTATAACTACTACCTTATTAACTATGAATAAGCAGTGACTTGGGAGTAAAATGGTAAACTTAGGTGACTTAGGTAAAATGTTTATTAATAGCAAATTTCCATCACATTGTACCCTAAAATGTCACAATTGTACCTAAAAATGTGACCAAAAGGATTAGTGAATAACCAATCATCAATAATGATTTCTCATAACAGAGCAACAAATAATCGTATTAGAATCAGAATGAGTGCAGGAATGATGCAGAACACCACTTCTACACCACAGATTCACAGAGTACATTTTAAGTTATATTGACATAGAAAACAGTTAATTTGAAATTATTTTATATTTCCCTGCATTGCTGTTTATTGTATTATTAGTTGAATAAATACAGCCATTTTGCACAAAAAAAAACAAAAAAAACAACATCACAGAAACCAAACTTTTGTACAATAGTGTACAGAACTTTTAATATTAAAAAAAAAGGACAGAGTGTCAGTGGAGCTTGCCTTCCTCTATACTGACACCTAATATATATGAATCCCTCAGCAGTTTCGGTATTTCTGCATTAAACGGGATGATAAAAATGAGCGGTGACTCACCATATTGAAACTTGAAGACTTAACGGTATTAACTGAACTGAAGTTTATGGAGAGAAATGCGCTCTGATGGGTTCATCAGAGATTTATAAAGAAATAAAAGCATCCCCTGGGCTAAACTAAGCAGAAAAAAGTTTTATTGCCTACCTGAAGCGAATTTCACTTAAAAATGAATCTGTTTTTCTCACTGCAGAATCACTGACAGTTTTATCTTGTTTAAATTCACTTATGCTATAACAACTCATAACTCTGAACTAAAATATACCAACCGTATTTGACCCCCTCAACTTTGTAAGTTTTTCCCCGTCTAATGTTGGTTCTGCATCGCTGCTAACATGCTAATTGCTTTGCCACACTTGTGTTTTGACAGAAAGCTATGCTAACGTAGCACGCTAATTAATGGCTCTCTACATACAGCCTGCTTCAGACAAGAAATGGGTTTTGTCTGGCTCAGTTTGAAAGTTGAGAAGTTATTTGTGCCAAGAGAGACAGGTTTTGCTCCTGGGAGCTGCAGGTGCCCAGTAGCAGCTTCACAAAATGCCACAGTGGATCCTGAAAGTTTGTGTGTGTTTGTTGTGCCTCAGAGGAGCTAGTTATCTACCGCTTGCAGGCCGGTTCCTCTCGACCTCCCCCGGGCTGAGTGGCCCCGTGTAATTGAGTGCCACCTGAACGGTTGTTGTGAAAGGTGGGTTATCTGCCCACTTTAATCCCACAGGAGGACAGCACAAACCCTGAGGACTAGAGCCCAGTCTGTGACACAAAGCATTGTGGGAAGAGTCACATGGGAACACGGCTTTGAAGGCTTTAATGACTTGTGGTACCTAGAGATGGCTGAACTCATTATATTTGTTTTTTTTGTCCACAAGACTGTTCTGTAAATTAGTCACATGAGTAAAAGGATAATGTAAAACATGGGGAAAACGCTATAAGACATTTTTGAAACCAGCGTAATAGTTTAAATCTGTGCATCAGTATGTTTGTGTTAAGTATGAGTGGATTAATAAAAATAAGTTTAGAGTTCATGTGAATCAGTTCAAATGATTATATGAAAAGAATGAAAGTTGTTCTGAGAATTGTGAAATTGACACCATTGCTTGGATCCAATTACAAACACTAATGAATAATTTTTCCACACATTTCTAAACATATTAGTTTTAATAACCAATTTCTAATGACTGATTTCTTTTATCTTTGTCATATGTTTTACTAGATATTTGTCAAAATGCTAGTATTCAGCTTAAAGTGCAATTGAAAGGTTAAACTTGGTTAATTAGGTTAACTAGGGTAATTAGGCAAATCATTGTATAACAGTGCTTTATTCTGTAGAATATACAGTAGTGTAAGACGGCTAATAATATCGACCTTAAAATGGTTATAAAAAATGCTTGTATTCAAGCAGAAAAAAAACAAACAAATAAGACTTTCTCCAGAAGAAAAAATATTATAGGAAATACTGTGGAAAAATTCCTTGCTCCGTTCAACATAATTTGAGAAATTTTAAAATACTAATAGTTTTGACTTAAACTGTATATATACAGTGTAGAAAATCATCTCTTGAAATACTTATTTGTTATTCAGCTTGAAATCAAATCACATTCCAAATAACTTTTTCAGTCTTTGAAATGTTTCTATAATCGTCTCCTAACCTTGCAACAACATTAACCTGAAGGTCTTTTAAAAGCTTGAGTGTAATGTGAATATGTAAAGGTTTTGATTTTCACTGTATGATGATTTTCTATAGGCACTATATACATACTAGATTTATTTATTAGTACTGCTTGTAAATGTATTGCATGTGTTTAAGCATAGTTTATATAAATATTTGCAATTAAAAATAATTTATAAATGAAGTAACCTATTTGCGGTAGAGAAAATGTAAATGTTTTACATTTAAGAGTAATTATATTTTGAAAAGGTAAAATTATTAGTATTATTATCAGTAGTATATTAAATGTGATATTTAATGTAATATCAATTATAACGCAATACTACTAGTACATACAATAGAAATCAAAATAATATGTTTGTTAAGAAAATGTACACTCACCGGACACTTTATTAGGTACACCTTAATAGTACTGGATTGGACCCAATTTTGGTTTCAAAACTGCCTTAATCCTTCGAGGCATTGATTCAACAAGGTACTGGAAATATTCCTCAGAGATTTTGGTCCATTTTGACATAATAGCATCACGCAGTAGCTGCAGATTTGTCGGCTTCACATCCATGATGCGAATCTCCCATTCCACCACATCCCAAAGTTGCTCTCTTGAATTGAGTTCTGGTGACTCTGGAGGCAATTTGAGTACAGTGAACTCATTGTCATGTCCAAGAAACCAGTCTGAAGGGATTCACGCTTTATGACATGGCATGTTATCCTGCTGGAGGTAGCCATCAGAAGCCACTGTGGTCATAAAGGGATGAACATGGTCAGCAACAATACTCAAGAAGGCTGTGCCAATGACACGATGCTCAATTGGTACTAATGGTCCCAAATTGTGCCAAGAAAATATACCATAATATCCCTAAGAATTGCCGCTCACTGGGTATTTTTCTATTTTCGGACCTTTATGTAAACTATAGAGATGGTTGTGCATCAAAATCCTAGTAGATTAGCAATTTTTGAAATACTTAGACCAGCCCGTCTGGCACCAACAAACATGCCACGTTCAAAGCCACTTAAATCCCATTTCTTCTCCATTATGATGCTCAGTTTGAACTGCAGCAGATCCTTTTGACCATGTCTACATGCTTAAATGCAATGAGTTGCTGCTATGGGATTGGCTGATTAGAAATTTGCAGTAACTTGCAGTTGGACAGGTGTACCTAATAAAGTGGCCGGTGAGTGTATATTACTTTAATACTACACCATATGATTAATATTATTTTACCCCTACACAAATATTTCAATTTTGTGACTGTAGCCCTGTAGTTCATCAGTCATGATCATCTTGCAGTGTTCTGCTGCAGCAGGATCAGTTGGTCTCCGTTGTGTTGGCCGGAGCCCAGTGAGTGTTTGTTTTCTGGTGTGGCTCCGACATGCCCTTCAGACGGCGTGCATCAGATTGCACTGTATCCTCATGCTGTTCAAAGAGACTCGTGCGGCACATTAACTTTCAGACAAGCTCAAGGACAAAAAAAAAAAAAACACTCAGTGGAGAATGCTGAGAGTTCACTTTTCTCTTTCTTTGTATGTGTGTGTGTGTGTGCACTGACTGCTGATTTCTTGTCTGTTTCATGTACTGACCCTATGCTTTTGTTTTTGTTTGTTCTCTTGCAGACGAAACCTCACCAAACTTTCCCTGATTTTCAGTCACATGTTGGCCGAAATAAAAGCTATTTTTCCTGGTGGACAGTTCCAAGGAGACACATTTCGCATCACCAAGGCCGACGCTGCAGAATTTTGGAGAAGGTCATTTGGAGAAAAGTAAGTTTCGTCCCTTTTTCAGTTCAATCTGCCAAATAAAATCCTGACTTTTCAGTCTTAAATTATTGCACCACTCAATTCAAGCTGATTTTATGAACAGATTTGTTTCTCTTCACATTTAAAATTTTACTGTACTCTTAAAAATAATAATAAATATAAATAAAAATTAATAAAATATGTAATGTTTAAAATAAATAAATAAAATTTAGTCATTCAAGAATTAAGATCATGTGAGAGTAATTTAGACACTTTTCACATAACCAAGGCAGATGTTGCCAACTTTTGAAGATCGTTTTTTGGCAAAATGTACGTTTTCGTCCTGTTTCCAGATGCATCTGCCAAATCAGATCGAGTCTTTCCAGTCTTTCATTACAGCTCCAATCAATTAAGGCTCTTTGTCATGGATAACTGCTTTTTCTCTCCTCCATTTAGCAGCGAGTAAGTGGGGTGAACTGTCTGGTCATGTGCTCAAGTGTGATTTAGCATAAATCTGCACACCAAACTAGACACAAAAATGCCTTTCCTAACTGCTTTAGTCAGCATTTGTGAGGTGAAGGTCATCGGTTAGTTGTTTTTTCAGGCCAATTAAGAGCATTAAATTGAAAGTCAAGCCATCAGTCGATCCTCAAATTACAGAAATAACACTGAAGGGCTGATGATCTTCCTCTATAGCCTATGCAAACAGCCCTCTGTCCTGAAATATGAGGTTTCTCCGAGGGCTTAACCAGTCTGGGCTTGTTTGCTGGGAAGAGTTTCAGTTTAGACCGAGGTGATTGTGGCAGTTTATACTATAGTTGAGGAGTTAGATTGGCTTGGGGAATTTTTATATAGCAGTGTGAGTAGTGAGTACCCAGGAAAACAAAAAACTGGAAAGGTTTATACTATAGTTGCACTATTAACTCTTAATCACATGATCAGATTTTCAAAGCTCCTCATTCAAGATCATTTATTCAAGAGATTTGTACAAAAACGCTGATTCATCCAGTAATGAATTCATCCAGTAATGAGAAGTCTTTAAGTCATTACCCTCATGTGTGCCAGGGAAAAATAAAACCAGGAAAAGTTTACAATATAGTGGCATGATTAACTGTTAATCACATGATCAGATCATTACAGCTCCTCATTCAAGAGATTTGTTCAAAAACGCTAATGCATCCTGTAAATGAAATTGATGGTATTTAAGTCAATACCCACAGCTGTGTCAGGGAAAGTAAAAATCTGGAAAAGTTTACAATATAGTTGCATAATTAACTGTTAATCACATGATCAGATTATCACAGCACCTCATTCAAGATCATTCATTCAATAGATTTTTTCAAAAACGCTGATTCATCCAGTAATGAAATTAGTAAAGTCTTTGAACAATTTATTTAAATATTTTGTAGTTTTTTGTTTATTTATTTGTTTAGTTTAAGAATCTTTCCAAGGTTAAGGTTTATGCATTTAATGAAACTTAAATACATAATAAAACAGTAAATGTTTAAAAAAAGATAATATTTATATTATAATTTAATTACCTCATAGTTAAAACAAGAAGTAGCACATACACAGAATATTTTTTGAAAGAAGCCAGAACAATTATTTAGTAACTTAAGGCTGTAGCATTACTAGTGAATATTTTACACATATTTATAACTCAGTTTTTATAGAATATAAAGAATACATTCTCTGGCACTAAAAATGAACACCCTGTGGGCTAAGTTATCTAGATAATGTTATGTTTTATGTTTTGTTATATGTTATGTTTTTAAAATACATTAAAATATATGATATTCAAGAGATTTGTTTAAAAGCACTGATTCATCCAGTAATTTGTGTAGTCTTTACGAGCAAGTCATTGAATCATTCATTAAATATTTTTTATTGTTTATATATTTATATGTATTTTTAGAATTTTTGCACGTTTAAAATTGACATATTTTAACGAAACTTAAATATGTAATAAAAAGTAAATATCTCATAGTCAAAACAAGTAATAGCATACACAAACAAAACAAAAAAATTACATCCTCTGGCATCAAAAACGAACATCCTGTGGGCTAATTTATCTAGATAATGTTATGTTATATTAAATGTTTTGCTATGTGCTGTTATTATAATATATTATATTATTGAGATTTGTTCAAAAATGCTGATTCATCCACGCTGTAAAAAAATCACATAAAAAATATTACAATTGGGGAATACTCATCCTTGTTGAAGGAACTGTGGGGTAAAAGAGGCACATCATTCGCATATATTCTGACAGTTTTTATGAAATGGTACACTCCGCCATCAATTATATTATTGATCTTCATATTGCTAGATCATTTAAAGTCTTTTATCTAGGAGCTATTACTATTAAATTTAAAAAATGAAGATAGATATCTATTTAAGATATTTTTGACATCAAGTATAAAAGCTATAACTCGGAAATGGTAAAAAGAAGACCCAACAACTAAAGATGAATGATTCAAACTTATAGCAGAAGTTGAGGAAATGGAAAAAATGACACTTGCACTTTGATAACATTTAGAGATCTTTGAAAAGAAATACAGTAAATGGCTGGCTTTCTCCACAATGACAGTATAATTATCTATAATTGAACATTTACATAATTCTAGAGGTTATGCATCATTATGAAAATATGTTTTCACAATCTTTTATTGTATTTTATTTTATATTTATTTTATTTATTTATTTATTTTGATGAGGTTAATTTAATATTTATATATATGTATGTATATTAATATACATGTGTGGAATGGATTATTTGCTTATATACGTATATATGTATGCATCTATATATATATATATATATATATATATATATATATATATATATATATATATATATATTAGGGATGTAACGGTATCAGAATTTCACGGTACGGTAATACCTCGGTATGAATGTCACGGTACGGTATTTATTGAATCATTTACAGGAAAAAAAAACTTTTGAAAATACTCCAAAAAAGTGCCAAAAGTGTCAATGACATACAAATTAGCCATCTATCTGTAAGCTTTGAAACAGGAACTTCAATTTTAATAACAAAAAATTATTAAACCATGTAAAAAAAATAAAGTTTCAATTTAGTATTGTTAAAAACTCATCACATTTAACATTTAATCACTCACTTAGATAGAGATGGGTTTAAAGGAAAATTATCATATAACTATAATCTGGTAAAAGCTGGTATCTCTGGGTATTTACAATGTCCCCTGCAACAGAAAAAACCCCTCTCATTTGGGACTGAGGATTCTGGGACAAGAGAGATATGACTTGGCCCATGTTGACAGCAGTGGGTGACGTTGTGCATTGTCTTTCCCCCACTTGAGAGGACAAGCCATGAGTGAGATAGAGATCTCATGTCTGCATCAATCCGAACAGTGTGCTGTGTTTCTGCAGTCCCCATGACTGTTATTAGTCGTATTCCCCAACTTGCAGGCACGTGCACACATAGGGCTTAACCTGTGCAGTGTACATGCCCTTTTTAGTCTTGGATAGAAAATGCCCTTCCAAAACGATCAAAAGTGCCCCCGCGACGCGACACAACCTCCGTCCAGTCCAGCCCTTCAGTAGGCGCGCGATAACACCTCTCTTGAGTATGCGCGCTCAACCCCCCCTCGGCGCTTTACAATACGCGCGCCACAACACAGCTGATTAGAACGCGCGCGACAGCACCGCTATTTAGCACGCGCGCGGCGACAACACCCGCTTTAGGTTCGATCATTTCCATCTTTTTTTCATCTCCGCTACTAGCAGCACACTCCATTTCCGCATTACTGGATCTGTAGCGACAACAGACCGCAAAGGATTATGGCCACGCCGGGGCTGATGGGAAATGAAGTTTCAGCTACCTCCCGTTCGCTTCATTCGCCTGAGCAAATTTTCTCAGAAGACCTATAGTTTTACCGAGTCATGCGACTTCGGTAATATCGAAAAAATTTAATATTGCGGTATGACGGTATTTACAATACCGTTACATCCCTAATATATATATATATGTATGTGTGTGTTATTATTTTCTTATTTGTTTGTTTTGTTCCCACTGGTTTTACGTTTCTAAAAATCATTAAAAACTTAGTAAAAAGTAAAATAATAGCCGTTAAATTAAAGAAGTTTAACCTAAAATAATAGACGTTAAATTACAGAAATGTCCTTAAATTTAAATTTCCATTAAATTTCTGTAATTTAAAGTCTGATATTGTAAGTTTTTTATTTTTTATGTATTTATATATTTTTCAGAATCTTTTGAGGTTTCAAAGTTAGCAATGAAACCTAAATACATATTCTTTTAGTTAAAACAAGTATAGCAAATGCACATAATATGTTTTAAGAGAAATCCGAGGCCATATTCAGTAGCATAAGGCTGTTGCTTTAGTAGTGAATATTTTAAACAAATTTATAATAAAGTTTTCAAAGAACAGAAAGAATACAGTCTCTGGCACCAAAATAAACACTGTGTGGGCTAATTTATCAAGATAATGTTATGTTATGTTTTAATATATTAAAATATATTGTATTATAGTCATTTTGTATTACATTTCTTTAAATATTGGATTATATTTTGCTTTTATTAATTCCTTTAAGAACAACTTGAATAATCACAATGTTTTTAGTGGCTGTGCACAGTTCTTAACACAAGAACATGGCAATTAGTCACCTAGCCTACAATCTGCAAATCCCTGCTGTGTTACTGTTGCTGCTGTTTGCTGTAAGAGACTCAAATTTTGATCCTATTAGTTTGAGGACTAAAAAGCTTATTTTAATTGCCTCCCCTGATAAGAGAAAGAAGAAAAAAAAAATAAAGTAATAATGTGGACGCAAGCTGATTTTCCATTCCAAGCACAGATCGTCTGATCTTTAAGAGCTTCGCAGATTGCCATGTTTAATTCATTTGCTATCTCTGCGGCTGCTGCATATTTCATCTTTCAGTAAAGCGGTGGGTTATAGGAAGTGTGAATGGGACAGAAAGGCCTGGTAATGGCACAGGTGTGATCAGCTAGAGCAAGATAAG